TCTTCCGCGGAAGATTCCTTTAATCAAGGATCACTTCCCCGTTGAAACAGGAAGCGGTGTGGCTGGACGAGTTGTCCGAATGGGCTTGCTTCACCGACATTTATTGCTGGTTCCATGCCAGCAAGAAGTGCGGCTGCAATCTCATATGCACCAATACAACACGGACATGTGCACCAACACACAAAGAAATACGATAATTAAACGATCTAAGCATATGAAACCAATCAAAAAATAGGCAGCATTCTTTTCAACGCTGTCCAGCTTTAGTACACGCAATCGCCCAAGGATTACGCAGCCAACCATGCGGTCCGCACGGCTAGCAGGTGGTTGGACGCCACAAAGGTGGAGCGCACCAGGTTGGCACCTATCCAATTCTCTCATAGCGCCTTTGTAAGGTGAGTTCTCGCTAATCGACAATTCATGCACTCGAATAGGGCTTATGCATCGTTATGTTCCATTGGTAGCAGAAGTACGGTCAACCGCCTCTGTGTGCTGCAGGGCAATGGTGAGTCAGCAGCAAGCCACGTGAGCTACGACAAACGGTCGCCGCGACGTCACGATTGGCATATTCTAAAACACTCTTACGGTGTGTGGCATCAAATCTTGACTACGAAGTCATGCTCTTCATTCTTCTATGGACGGATCGTAACTGCTGCTCCTCTAGTGGATTTTTCAGCAACACTGAAAAGGCATTATTGCTTTGTGCCTGTGAGCCGTTCTAATCACCATAAGATGAAAAACGCTGCCACGATCCCCTTCTGACATCCGGTTTGTGGTAAATTCTGAGGAATCATAAACCATTCTCATTCTTTTCCTAAAAATCTTTCAACTTGCACCATTGCTATCATTTTCGTGAATTCCGTAGGGAAACGACATTCAAGACTTGAGAAAGGTCAATAGAGATGATGTGAACACCAGGTGCCCCACAAGGTTGAAATTCAAAGAATGTGCCGAAAATTGTCTGAAAGTTTCCAAGATTCTGAAGCCGAAGAGTTTATAAAATGTTAATGAGTAATGAACACATTTTTCCTCAGGAAGATTCGAGCATTGGCGAAAATTCAAATTGAGATCACGTGGGGAAATAATCAGATTAGAATGAATGCCCTAACGAATTCGTGGTCGCAAAAAGGGAAACCAATGGCAGTAGAAACCATGACAAAAATATAATATTAAATTCTGCCAGCTAAGTTTGTCTGGTCTCTACAGCTACATACTGCATCGCATTGCAGTCGAGGTCCCCTCCAAAATCATAAACAGAGCAGTGAGGATCATGCTTGTTTTTAAGCGTTCCATCAACATGTCCAATAGTACGCCTTGGTTGTATGTTTTCCGAGAATTTAGTTGAATTATTCCGGCTCCTGCGCAACGGGCGCATCCTGTTTTTGGTGTAAGTTTGTTGTTTCGCGACGCTACTCTATCCTAACGATCGTGCGATTGTCGATAGATATTTGCTAGCTGTGGGAAAAGCACGTTAAAATACTCAAATAGGATTTTCCATGCTTTTTTCCCAATAGACCGCAAAGGAATAGTTTCGTTCCTTTTTCACTGTATTAGGAATTCTAAGACCAGAAAGGATAGCTTTAGTCCACCGTAGCCTAAATTAGCCTTACTTTGACCCATTTTTGCGCATACCCACCTTAGAAGACACAACCTTGGCGGATTACTTACCAACCTGCTACCGCAAGGATAAAAAGGGTACTGACCAGGGACAACGATTAACAACTTATATAGGGAGCATCTGGGTCAAACCGAACTAGTGACTTCGAATAAAAGGGTGAGATTAGAGCTTCCGACCATTGCTGAAACTGCTCTGAAATTATCTCGTTGAAAAAATAGTGCCTTTTTCCCCGCGAGTTATTTTCTTCTAATTCTCCTGCTAACGCAAATTTTAGCACGTTGACGACAACGCGCGTTTTGGCTTTTTGGCCGCGTGGGACCGGCGCGATTTTGCGAGCGCGGCCGCCTCAGGTAATTCAGGCGAATTTTGGGTGGTAAATACATAAAAACGTGATTGATACAAAGATAAGATCGGTACTTTCAGTGCGTAGAAGCTACGCAGGGTATAGTAGTAAATATTTGATAGAAAGAAGTAAAATAAAAATGAAAAAGCAAAATTTGTCAGAACTAGCTGCAATGGAAATCAAAACGAATTTTACCTCGATTATTACCGATCAAAACACATATGTTGTCATCCCTTAGGTTCCGTATTTACTTCTACCTTGAATCTTCACCTTCATGAAAGAAAAAGGAAACGAAAAATTAACTAAACTGGTGATTTTGTAGGAATCAGAAACTCTCCTCTTAACTAAGGCACACGAGACCATTCTGTGGGTATATTTGTAGGTATGCTAAGGTTTCCCTATAGAATACACTCAAAAGTACTTAACTTGAATCGCGCTTGCGCGGAAAAAAAATTAATGTAATGGGTGCAGGACACATACGTCCCGCGCTGTCCGTCATGGCCTGCAAAGTGCGGGACGTATGTGTCCTGCGTTGTCGTCAACGTGTTGATAGAGGTGGTCATGACCTTCTTCAAAATCATTCTCAAAATCATCATTTCTAAGGCCATATGAATCACGAAAACTACGCAATTATTGTGTCAACAGACCGGCCTTTTCTGGAAACCCATGTGGAGGAAAAGCTTGATTCGTGAGAATTTTCTACCAGTTCTCTAAAAGGCAATTGCACTTTCTTGGACTTCGCTTTGGTCTGAGAACATCGAGCTAGTGATTTGAAACAATAGTGCTGCTCATGCGCACTGAAATATGTTCTGGGCGTTTTGTACTAACGACTTCTACCCCTGGATGCGCCATGCACTATGATAAGAAGTCGCACGGAAATTCACCGGTCTCGTCGCCTGTCTATGCCCCACAAATGTTGAATACTGTCGCTGATCTCTACACTTACAAGTCCCCCCCCCCATTCGTGAGCCAAATATAACGCTCCTCCCTCTTGTTGGATATGACCCTGTGTTTGTAAAATTTTTGGAGCAGACTAAGTATGATTTGAGATGCTTGAAACAATCCGCAGGGGGAGAAGGAAGTAAAATGAACCCTCGACTGCATGGAGTGGAGGTTTATTTATTTATTTTATTTATTTGAAACGTGGACAAGTCTAC